CCTCCTTCGCTCCTTCGTCAGGAGGTTGCGACAAACAAACCAAAACCTGTACATGTCCATCCCCTCCGGGAGGAGTAGGTGCGGCTGTCCCGGTGGCCTCAGAATAGAGGGCTTTCAGGGCGCCTCTGTGCAGTGAAATGCGGTGCCCTCTCAAGACACCTCTTTGCAAAAGCAAAGCACGACCGGTAGAAGTGCGCAATGGGGCGCCGACCTACCTGTCAGGGCAGTGGATGCACTGGCGTATGCTGTGCTGCGTGCAGTCTGCCTGGCTCCTGTGGCGCTGCTGGCAGACCTCAAACACGACAAACTAACAGGCCCTGGTGCGATGAAGCTTGTTGCCCTCTGGCGTTGCAAAGTAACGAGTTGGTGCTTCATCGGCCTGCCTGGTGGAAGCCGGCGCATTCCTCCCAGAAGCCGAAGTGCCGTACTGTGCCTAAAAAACCTAAAACCAATTCTGGAGACCTGGCCCTCTTCCAAAGATTGGTTCTTTAGGGACAGTACAGCACTTTCAGCACCTCAGGCCTTCAAAGTGCTGTACTGTCCCTAAAAAACCAAACCTCAGGCCTTTAAAGTGCTGTACTGTCCCTAAAAAATCCAATCTCTGGAAGAGGGCCTGTCTGTATAGGCCACCAGAATTGGTTTTTTTAGGTTTTTAGGGGCTTTCGGCTTCTGGGATTGGTTTTTTCGGGACTTACAGGGCTTTCAGCACCTCAGGCCTTCAAAGTGCTGTACTGTCCCTAAAAAACCAATCTTTGGAAGAGCGCCTGTCTGTATAGGCCTCCAGAATTGGCTGTTTATAGGGAAACCCAATCTTTGGAAGAGACCTGGCTGCACATGCCCCCAGTATTAGTTTTGTAGGTTTTAGAGAGAGTGCAGTTTGAACAGGAAGCAAGCGAATCAATCATATTCAACTATGTCTACGGACCGTGATTTATAGATATTAAGCTTCATTGAATTGATTTAGTTAAGGGTCTACACAATCTGTTCATTTATTTGACCCTTCAGTGAAGAAATTCAGCGATTGGAATCCCTTAACAAACTAAGTCTACTTCAAAAAACTTGTTTACCGCATCGTGATTGAATTGATCTATTTCATTGACGTCTTTGAGTTAGCGGTCTACTAATATGAATCTATTTGACCCTTAAATAACTATATTCAGCCCGTGAAATTACGTAAGCTAAGTTGAGAATACGTACTTATCTTTACTAACTTTTTCATTGAGCTCATTTAGTCAATGGTCTTCTAAGCTTAAAGTCATGTCTTTAACACGCCAGAAACTAATCAAACCATTGACACTACTTGAATTAAATTAGTTTCAAGAAACCACAAGCCCTTCATTAAATTATGTACTCTGTCTGTGTGCGCGAACACAATGAACATATTTTAGCCAATTTAATTCATGCTTCAATGAAGCAAAACTAGATCCGGTGTCCGAATAAGTATGTTTTACTTAATGTAGCACACTAGAACATTTGATTAATCTCACTAGTGGTTCATTAAATTTGGCGCATTGATTACTTCGAGGTGGGTGAAAACATCATTTAATCTAGTTCAGATTAAGTGTTAACGAAATAAAGTATGGTAATTTTGTTAGTTCAATGTAGTAAAATCACCCTTGCCGCGCTTTCGCCCACGTGCATGGCAGCATCATCCACTCGATGGTCCTTGTAAAATTATTCCGGCGCGTGTTCGTTAATGCGATGCAGAAAGCTAACTTTTGCAGCAAAACCTAGGCGCCGGGGGGGTAGCATATGTATATATATATATATATGCTCGCCCCCCCTCCCAAGATCCACCCTTCCGAGTGCTTGTAGAGTCTTGACTTTCCTGACGTCTACTATCGGGTTAAGGCTTAAAGGCTTAGGGTTTTAAGATTTAGGCATGTAAACATAAGCCGGCAATTGCACTTAAGCCCTTCACCTGCAAAACTTTATGGGATGAAGGTTTAAAGGTTTAGGGTTTCAGATTTAGGCATTGTAACCTGAGAGCCCATAGAGTTTAGACCGTAAGGGTTTAAGGTTCAGGCATTTAAGATATGTATGAGTTGGTATCTAAATCTTGGTTGGAAGGATTTTTCGTCACACAACGCATTGCTTATAAGCAATAAGTTTGCTTGACCCTGCCCCCTCGCTGCGCTCCTGTTTTTGTTTCAATTATTACTCTCTTATATAGTACCCTAGCGGTTAAGGGTTTAGGGCTTCCAAGAGAAGCCCCGAAACCCTGTAGGGTTTAGCAATTAAGCCTCATCCCTTAACCTATAAACTCTATAAGGTTCAGGTTGACGGTTTTAGGGTTTAAGACTTTGACATTTAAACCCAAGCCGGCAATTAAAACTTAACCCTATAGAGTTAAGGTTTAAGGGTTTAGGGTATAAGGCTTAGGCATTTTACGCCTAAACCCATAGAGTTGTTTTAAGTGTCTGAAGGGCGCTGAAGGTATATATGCCCAGACCCTAGATTTTTGAACCAGTAAACCCTATAGGGTTTCAAAGGTGCAGGGTTTAAGGTTTGGGCAGACTTATACGATTAGAAGCTTACAACCCTATGGGGCTTGAGGCTTCAATCCCTAAACCTTACATCTCATAGGGGTATGCCTATGTTTGTAGGGATTGCGCCCCGGGGAACGCGGGAATACTGTGAGCAAATGTCCTTTCACTACATCCTGGGATTCTCAAGATATGAACAAACCAATCGACATATGATAGAATTCATATCGGGGGATGATTGCTTGAGATATCTTAGCTATGGTATAGTTTTTGGGATAGTGTTCTGTGCTGCTTATTGGGGTGGGATGGCTTAAGGTATGATAGCTAAGGTACAGTGTTTAGTATAGAGTTCAGGTTTTGCTTATGGGGGGATGATTGCTTCAGATATGCTCGCGAAGTTATAGTCTTTAGGGCTGATTGCTGAAGATACTGCAAGACCTCGAGGAGATAGATACCTCAGGAAAAAAATTTTGTTTCAGGGACAATGCAGCACATTGGTACCTGCAAGCAAAAAACAGGGACAGTACAGCACTTCTGCAGTCTGGACAGGCGAAAGCGCTGTACTGTCCCTATATTTTCGTCCCCAGGCAAGCAAAAAATAGGGACAGTACAGCACTTCTGCAGTCCGGACAGGCGAAAGTGCTGTACTGTCCTTTTTTTGTCGTCTGCCGGCAAGCAAAAAATAGGGACAGTACAGCACTTCTGCAGTCTGCAGATGCGAAAGTGCTGTACTGTCCCTATTTTTTGCTTCCAGGTACCAATAAAGTGCCGTACTGTCCCGAAAAAACCTAAAAAACCAATCTTTTGGGAACTACCGGGGGCCCCCGGACTGGTAGTGCTGGAAAGATTGGTTTTTTAGGTTTTTTATGGACAGTACAGCACTTCATTGGTACCTGCAAGCAAAAAATAGGGACAGCACAGCACTTCTGCAGTCCGGACAGGCGAAAGTGCTGTACTGTCCCTATTTGCTCGTCCCCACGCAAGCAAAAAATAGCGACAGTACAGCACTTCTGCAGTCCGAAGAGGCGAAAGTGCTGTAGTGTCCCTATTTTCTCGTCTCCAGGCAAGCAAAAAATAGGGACAGCACAGCACTTCAGCAGTCCGGACAGGCGAAAGTGCTGTACTGTCCCTATTTTCTCGTCCCCAGGCAAGCAAAAGATAGGGACAGTACAGCACTTCTGCAGTCCGAAGAGGCGAAAGTGCTGTACTGTCCCTATTTTTTGCTTCCGGGTACCAATAAAGTGCCGTACTGTCCCTAAAAAACCTAAAAAACCAATCTTTTGGGAACTACCGGGGGCTCCAGGGCTGGTAGTGCTGGAAAGATTGGTTTTTTAGGTTTTTTATGGACAGTACAGCACTTTATTGGTACCTGCAAGCAAAAAATAGGGACAGCACAGCACTTCTGCAGTCTGGACAGGCGAAACTGCTGTACTGTCCCTATTTTTTCGTCCCCAGGCAAGCAAAAAATAGGGACAGTACAGCACTTCTGCAGTCCGGACAGGCGAAAGTGGTGCACCGTCCCTATTTCATGGGTTTCAGGCAAGCCATAGTCGCACTTCGCACACACACACACACACCCACCCACACACACACACACACACACACCCACACACACACACACACACACACACACACACACACACACACACACACACACCCACACCCACACCCACACCCACACCCACACACACACACACACACACACACACACCACACACACACCCACGCGCACACACCACCCACACACCCCCCACACACACACAACCCACACAACACACCACACCCCACACACCCACCCCACACACACACACACACAACACCACCCACACACACACACACACACCACCCACACACACCACACACACACCCACCCACACACACCAAACACACACCACACACCACACAGACACAACACACACACACCTCCACAACACCCACACCCACCACCACACACACACACACACACACACCACAACACCCACACACCCACACAACCCACAACCCCCACACACACACACACACACACACCCACACACACATACACACACATACACACACATACACACACACACACACACACCAACCACCCACACACACACACACACACACACACACATCGCCATAAGAACTCGGCAACACCAGAAACCAACCACCGGATCCTGGTAGTCCATTTCTGGCATCTGCGTGTACGCATCGTTGCAACAAAGAAGTCTGAAACAATCGTTTTAAGAGGAAAACCCTCGGTATTTGCAGCGTTTTCTGCATCTGCATGTATAACAAAGAGTATATACATGGAGTGAGACGAGTATGAAAAACCTTAGGGGTGGATCTTGGGGGCGGGGCGACCATATATATCTATGTACTTATATTTATTTATGCATGCGATTATTTATGTTGCATGGGAGCATGTTGTGCTGCTCATGGGTGCCCTGGAGCTGTTACAGGCTGCTACAAGTAACAACTTGCTAATGCCATGGCTTATATCTTCTGAAGTCCCAGGGCAGTTGGGGTCAGGTGCAGATGTATCTGGAATCCCAGCCTGGGGTACCGTGGATCACGCTGAACTATATCATCGCCGAGGCCAGGAGTGCAGGACCAAAGCCCAGACGCACATGACACGCAGCACGCAGCAAGTTCATAGACTCCTGATGAAGGTTTGTTTGTTCCTTTTTTGGGGATCTGCTGGCCCAATAAGCCTCAGACGAGGGGTGATGCCAAATCGACAAATATTCGACAATGGTCTGGGACTGCAAGCTGAGCTGCTGGATCTTGGCTCAGTCAGCTGCTGTTCCCGTCAAAGCCAGAGAGGCAGTGTCTGCTCATCGGCATGCTCATGACACTCGCAGTACAGCTGCTGGACGTCAGGCTTTCAGAACAGAATGATGCTTGAAGAACCGAACCCTCTTAGCAATCAGAGTCGTCGATTGTGTCTAGAGGGTGAAGAAAGCTAGATGCACTGTGCAAACATGCGCCACAGTGAGAGTAGAGTTCATTCATGGCTATATGTTGCCAGGGCACATGGACCTAGACAGCAAGTAAAGGCGAATCTCAGGTAGAGCTTGCGTGACTGTAGTTGCCCACGTGTATTGAGAAGCTGCTTCCATCCGCAAGATGAGGCCAGTCACACGGGCATGATGTGCACCGGCTTCTCAGGTGAAGTTGATCATGATAGATCCACCTTTGATGGCTTGGCTGTCAGCTTGCCTTGCCGTGACTGAGCATGCTAGTATCACCTAGTCGTTCTTGCATGCCACGTGGAAGTATGCGCCTAACATTGTGTGACTATGGATGCCATGACTCGGCTGAGACGTCAAAATACTCACAGGACTCAAAATTCGATGCTCGATGCTACAATTAAATGAGAGCGTGCCACCTGAAGGCCAGCATCTTGAAACTGAAGCCCAAAGCCTTCTAAGGCGTAGCCTTGCCAGCAAGCTTTTCATGTATCCGCAACTCCGTCAGCACCTTCACGCCCTCGATGACGCCTGCCGAAGCGCACCCTGGCTTGTAAGATGAGACCTGTATTCCCGAGATCGCTTGAGACAGAAACCCCAAAGATTAGGCAAATCCGTAGAAGGAGCGCGAAGCCCTATGTGAGCCTTGACCGTGGTAGTAAGTATCAAAGTTTAAGGGAAGATAGGGTGAATCCCCAAAAGGAGTGGTGAGGGGCAAACATGAAGCCTATTCCTGTGAGTTGGCAAAATGAGGCTGAGGCTGGACAAAGATTGAAAAATGACGTGGGAACCGCTTAGGAGACACGAAGGAGCATCATTGTTACATCACCTCTGAAGCCGCACGTTTACGTCAGTGACAGAGCAACTTGGAGGGTAGCTAGGTTCCTTTTAGCATGTGGCAACGTTGATCAGTTGCCATGCCAGCTCTTGTGCTGCAGTTGCCAACTTTGTAATTGACGTTTGCTGGCATGTGAGTCGTGCAGCCAATGCGAAGCCTGCACCCTCACTTCATCGCAGCACTGATGGCGCGTCGCTAGGAGGGCTAGGACTGTAGGATTCAGTTTAGAACCAATTGTGCAACGCGAATCGCAAGAAAGAACCTGCCCAGACCGCCACTTACCAAAAGATCCAGAAGCAGGGTCAAGTTTGTCGCTGGCTGTGCCGGGGTTTGGCAGGCCTTTATTGTAGAAGCCGCAAGTCCTGCAGATAATGGATGTCAAGACATCGTTGACAGCAACCTACTGAAGAAGCAGCTCGTCTAGCGCATTCAGTTTCGCTGGCATGGTAGACCCCAGCAACGTATTTCGCGTTTACGTCTGCACCTAGCACAGTTAGACGATCTTGGCTACTGGGTTGCGGTCGAGGGAGACCACAAAGACTGCCGTTCTCAGGGTGCTGCTCACTGCGAAGGCAGAGCAGGACTGCTGCAACCTTAGCTGGTATCAAGTGTATAACTAAGCGCGGCCCGACTACAACTCCCTCGCGATTCTTCAAGCCTGCTGGAGGACCGGATGAACAGCATCACCAGGCTGTGCATGGAGAGGCCATTTAGTTAAAAAGTTTCCCGTACCTGCGAATGGCTTTCCCAGACAGGGTTTGTTCGTTTTGGGGAGGCTCAGGTTTAGGAAGGGCACAGGGGTTGCACACCCGCGGAACATACCCTGAAAAATGCCCACAAAACATACCCCCGAAATTGCGGGTAAAGTAGCTCATGATGCCGTGAACAGACCCCGAAACATACCCTCGAAACGTACCCCGAAACCCAACACCACCTGTCGCCCCCCTCCCCCCAATTATGGAACAAACCCAGATGTTGATCTGTAGATATGGGCGGCCCGAAGAATTTTGCAGTGTACTTGGACTCTGACAGTCGCACAGCCTAGGAGCAAGAAATTGGGGGTGTCATGGTCCATGATGTACCATGTCATCGCTTGGCAGCCTAAGCGCGGGTGCGGGTTGACCAGTGGTTGACCAGAGGGGCCCCGCTTCTTTGGGAGCTTACGAAGGTCGTCGACTGTCAAAAACTGAGCGTTCAATCCCCCCCCCACCCCCCCCACCTCTTTGGTGTTGCTTACTGTTTGCTTGGCCCCGATCTCAAGTGAACTAGGCTAGGCAGTTGCCTTTGAAGGTGCGCGGACACCCTTCGCAGTGACGAGGCAAGTTGCAAACAGCAGTCTCTGTTTCAGGTTTTTGCAACTCGCAGGCTAGAGAGATTTGAGCTTGAACGCACAGAAGGTCATTAGGGCAGCCTGGCACAAGCAGCTCCGACACCGTAAGCCTTGCAACTTCTCGCTCTTGCTCTGGCTCTTGCTCTCTCCCTCTCTCTCCCTCTCTCTCCCTCTCTCTCCCTCTCTCTCCCTCTCTCTCCCTCTCTCTCCCTCTCTCTCCCTCTCTCTCCCTCTCTCTCCCCCTCTCTCCCTCTCTCTCCCCCTCTCTCT